ATGGGCCTTACCTTAACCAATAATTATTCGCCCTCAGTTAGAAACATGATGGAAAAGATGGGGTTTCAAGAAGGCCGGGGCTTGGGACGTCTTGAGCAAGGCAATCCCCGCCCTATATCACCCCGACCTCATGAAGGTAAAACGGGCTTGGGTTTTTCTTGAGCGCCACTGAGGCAGCACGACCCATACCATGGAAGACAGAGGACCCGGTATGGGTTCCTCAGTGGCCATTAACCTCCGAGAAACTGAATGCCATCATGAAAATAATTACAGAACAGCTTTGCCTTGGTCATATAGAACCATCCACTTCGCCTTGGAATACTCCGATTTTTGTTATCAAAAAGAAATCGGGAAAATGGCGCTTGTTGCATGACCTAAGGGCCATTAATGTACAAATGTTACTATTGGGTCCGGTCCAGCGAGGATTGCCTCTACTCACTGCCCTGCCAAAAGGGTGGCCCCTTCTGATCATAGATATTAAGGACTGTTTTTTCTCCATACCCTTACATCCCGTTGATCGCCCGCGTTTTGCCTTTACGGTACCTTCTTTAAATCATGCAGAACCAGATAAGAGATACCAATGGAAAGTTTTGCCTCAGGGAATGGCCAATAGTCCAACCATCTGTCAGCTCTTTGTTGATCAGGCACTTGCCCCAGTTAAAAGACAGTTCCCGCAGGTCCTGTCTATCCATTATATGGATGATGTGCTGTTATGTCATCAAGATCTTACAGTTTTACAGCAAATGTTCCCTGTCTTACAAAAGCAATTAAGTCAATGGGGACTTTCCCTAGCCACTGAAAAGGTACAAATAACCGACTCTGGATCATTCCTGGGCTCGGTTATCCGACCTGATTTCATTAGACCACAGAAGGTTGAAATTAGAAAAGATAAGTTACAAACTCTAAATGATTTTCAAAAGTTATTGGGTGATATTAATTGGCTAAGACCTTTTTAAAAATTCCCACCATTGAATTAAAACCTCTATTTGATATTTTAGAAGGGGACCCGCATATCACCTCCCCAAGGAAATTGGATCCTCGGCAAGCGAGGCTCTTTGCAAAGTCGAGAAAGCTATAACTCAGGCCCAGCTGGATAGGATAGATTATACCCAGCCAATTTTGTTATGTGTCTTGAACACACAAGGTCTACCCACCGCCGTTGTTTGGCAACAAGGGCCTTTATGCTGGGTCCATCCTCGAGCTTCCCCTGCTAAAATTGTTGATTGGTATCCAGCTGCTGTTGCACAATTGGTTATAAAAGGCATTAAAATGACAATAGAATACTTTGGTCTGGAGCCTAATATCATTGTTAGCCCCTATACTCCGGATCAAATACAGGTTTTGGCCACCACCTCTAGCGACTGGTCAGTCCTATGTGCTTCATTTTCAGGGACCTTTGATAATCATTATCCCAGGCATCCACTTTTACAGTTTGCTTTGGCCCAGCCTTTAGTTTTCCCAAAATTACCTCTAATACCCCAATTAAGAATGGGATAGTAGTATATACAGATGGTTCTAAAACAGGACAAGGGGCCTATGTTGTAAATGATATGACTTATATAAAACATTTTCCTGAATCTTCCCCACAAGTCGTTGAATGCCTCGTGGTATTAGAAGTTTTACAACAATTTATGGGCCCACTTAATATTGTTTCAGATTCATTATATGTAGTTAATGCAGTTAAAATTCTTGAAACTGCCGGGTTGATTAGACCTTCTAGTAAGGTGGCTCACATATTTGAAGCCATTAGAGCTGCTCTGCTGCAAAGGCGGCATCCTTTCTTTATTGAACACATAAGAGCTCATTCTGGTCTTCCCGGCCCCATGGCAAAAGGGAACGCGCTCGCTGATCAAGCCACTAGACTTGCAGCTGTTGCGCTTTCTTCACCCATAATAGCTGCAAAAGAATTTCATAATAAATTTCATGTTACTTCAGAGACATTACGCAGACGCTTTTCTTTAACCAGAAAAGAAGCTAGAGATATAGTGATACAATGTCAAAATTGCTGTCAGTTTTTGCCTGTCCCCCATCGAGGAATTAACCCGAGAGGTTTGATCCCCTTACAAGTTTGGCAAATGGATGTTACCCATTATGTCCCTTTTGGTAAATTGCAATATATACATGTTTCTGTTGATACTTGTTCTGGAATATTTTTTGCCACCCCACTTTCAGGGGAGAAGGCTTCTCATGTGATTCAGCACTGTCTTGAGGCCTGGAGTGCCTGGGGCAAACCCCGCTGTCTTAAAACCGACAACGGGCCTGCCTATACTTCACAAAAATTTAAACAATTTTGTGCACAAATGCAAGTTACTCATATTACTGGATTGCCCTATAATCCTCAAGGTCAGGGCATCATTGAGAGAGCACATCGGACACTTAAATCATATTTATTAAAGCAAAAAGGGGAGCAATAATGGAGCTACCCCCTGGACCGAGAGTGGCCATAGCCATGTCACTCTTTACCCTGAATTTTTTGAACTTGGATGATTCAGGGATGAGTGCGGCTGAGCGACATTGCACAGAACCTAAAAGGCCCAAGGAATGGGTGAAATGGAAAGATGTGCTAACTAATCAATGGAAAGGCCCGGATCCTATCCTGATAAGGTCCAGGGGAGCTGTCTGTGTTTTTCCACAGGATGAAGACAATCCGTTCTGGGTTCCGGAAAGACTCATTCGTAAGATGGGGAACCCTGATGATAATGATCATGGCTCAAGCCTGGAGGGCAACGGGAGAAAGAAGATGGGGAATCATGTCGACCTTTCCCCTCCCCATGCCGGTGATGTATAATGCACAAGTGTTTCCTAGATTTTTTTCACCAATAAAGAGCTAGGGCTAGCTTATTTGCCCCAAGATAATCAGATTCATGCAGTACAAGAAAATCGCTCCCTCTCCTTAAGAGGAAGCTTATGCTTTCATTTTTCCAAAGTAAATGATAATAAAAATAGTATTAACTGTGTTAATTTGAGGAATCAATCGGCTGCCTGGCAAGGCGAGGCTAGTTGGGGAACTGATTTAGAGATTGTAGCCAATGCATCCGATGTTAGGCGCTGCCGGTTAGTACTAATGCTACTCCCCATGATCAGCCAAAGTTAGCCCCATTTTGTAAAGGGATTCAATCAGAAGAGTATATCCTGCCTTGGACTGAATGTCAATCTAGGTATCAACACTGGGTAGGCCCTAATACCTTCACTTTCTCACCCAGCCTAGGGCATCATTTTTTGAATATGACACCCTTGACAACTTGGGTCAATCCCTTTGACGGATTTGACTCCTATGGTAATGATAGGAGGAGGAGCTGGGGAAAAAGGACAAATCTCTTACAATTGGAAGGGCAAATTTTCGGGGGGATCTGGCTCCGGCACTTAGCAAGCTTCAGATATGAAGCATAAAGAATTTATTAGAAAAGAATATGCCCCATCACCAGTTTGTGTTTGGCCCCCTTTTTATGGATTGTAAGCAATAATTTTATAGGTGAGAATGAGGAATTAAGATGTGATACCAAGAGCTGCTTTTATACATTATGCTGGGATGCCACGAAATATTCTTATGCTGTGGTGACTAGAATGCCGAAGTTTGTGCCCGTGCCGGTGAAAGCCCCGAGTAGCTTGTCTCTGCTACGCACAAAAAGAGATTTCGGCATCTCGGCCATAATTGTAGCCATTGTGGCCACTACAGCAGTGGCTGCCTCTGTGACCGCCTCGGCAATGGCCCTATCCACATCTGTACAAACGGCAGATACTCTTGATGGTCTTTCATCATCAGTATCAGTGGCGCTCGACCGACAAAGTTCGGCAAATACTCAAATTCAGGGAGGGTTGATGCTGGTTAATCAGCGCATCGACCTGGTTCAAGAACAATTGGATATTTTATGGCAATTGGCGCAGTTAGGATGTGAATATAAAATGCCTGGACTTTGTGTTACATCAATACAATATGAAAATTTTATTAGAGCGGCTAATTTGTCCAAAAGTCTTTCTCAGTTCATTTTACAGAATTGGACATTCGAATTTGAACAGATACTGCAGGACTTGAGAACAGCGATCCACCAGAATTGATGTCTCCCTACAAGAAGGACTGTCGTCATGGATCTCTTCTGTCTTCTCTTATTTCAAGGAATGGGTGGGGGTGGGACTCTTCGGGATGTTTCTCTGCTTCGGGATGTTTCTCTGCTTCGGAATGGCAATTTTATTCTTTTTGTTTTGCAAAGTGTTCAAAAAGGCAAAAACAGATAAAGTCATGATTACACAGGCACTCGCGGCTCTAGAGTATGGGGCCTCGGCGGAGGTCTGGCTCACCATGTTAAAGCGTGGAGAATAGCCTTTGATTATCCCCATTTCATTCTGGCTTTCCCTGTCACCTTGGCAGACTCCGGCTATATTTCTCTGCCCCTGCTTCAATAGATCAGCCTTTGCACCTCTGAGTCCGAAATGTTTTGGACATTTGCACCAGAGAAGGTGATCATTGATATTGCAGCCTTTGCACTCCGCTGAGCTCGTCTCATTGCACGCGGAAAGGTGCTATATGGGGTATATTCATCTGTTTCGAACCCTGATGGGCTGCAGAGCCTGACGGTGATCAACGGATGTAGGCCATTCATCTGGTTTCTGTCTCTGGTGACGAGGTGGCCATTAGCTGTCGGCAGAACAGCCCTTGCACCCTCAGCGACTTTGTTGCATTGCACGAGGATGGGTGTTTTAGCCTATGCAGCCCAGTTGGGACACTTTTGTGTGCTTTTATTAAAATAAAAAGGGGGGAGATGTTGGGCGCTGCCCTGGAACCACGCCATGGCGAGATGGCGCTGACATCCGCCTGACAGTTGCAATGACAACTCTGCTGCGCATGAGCAGGAGCTCCCTGCCCACGAGGCCGGGGGTGCCTGTGCCTTACGTCACCTCGGGTGACATAATTGGACCAGTAATTAACTGCCACGTCCGAGGCGAGAGAAACTCTCTATATAAGGAGAGTCCCGTTAGGGCGTGGGGTCTTCGCTTTGTGATAGCTTATGCTCCTCCTCTCAGGAGCAATAAAGCTTACTGCAGAAGGATCCTGATCGTGTGCCGCGTCATTCTTGCGGGCGAGATAGAGCGCGGGACAAAGATCAACTTAGGCTGTCAGGTTTGGTGATAGGAATTCTTACTCTCTGAGCTATCTTGTTGGCCCTGGAGTAGTCTTTTTTTTTTTAAAGATTTATTTATTATGTATACAGTGTTCTGCCTGCATGTAAGGCATGCACACCAGAAGAGAGCACCAGATCTCATTAAAGATGGTTGAGAGTCACTATGTGGTTGCTGAGATTTGAACTCTCCAGCCCTGGAAAAGATTTTTAACCCAGAAATGGGATTTCCCTAATGGCCTGTGAGACATGGAGACAGATGGAATTTGAGTATGTGGGAGTAGAGAAATTATAATGTAAATTTGCATAATCTGAAGAAAAGAATCCCTGGTGAACTAGTTCATATGAAACACTGGCTAGGTTATCACTGGCTAAAGTTCCCTAATATCAGGTTCTGGAAGTCCTCAGAAAAATGTCAGGTATTACTAGGGAAACAGCATTCAAGAATCAGTGCTCAGTGCCAAGTGTACTGGACCTGATAAGGCTATTTCTACAGGAGATACAAGAGAAAAGCAAATTAATTCAGCAGAGACATCGTGGCTGGTATGGGACTTTAATAGCTTTTGCAGAGCAAGATGGTGAGACTCGTAAATCAAGTTTATAAGGTGTGAAAACAAAGGGGATTTAAAAAAAAACGCAAAGAGGTCTGTTGGGATCACTTAAAGACAACTACACCTGGGCTTGGTGACATATCTGTCAGCAAATAGGAAGTGGAGGCAGCAGTTCAAGGCCAGGCTGGGATACATAAGCCCATCTTAAAAAATACAAACAGCCTGTGAGATGGATAGTTCAGTGGGTTAAAGTACTTGTCATCAGCACCGATGAGTCAATTCTTAGGTCCCACGTGGTGTAAGAAAACCAGTTCCTGAACATTGTTTCCTTACTTCTGCATGCATGCTGTGCTGGAGCCCTCCCCACACAACACACACCACCACTAACAACGGGGATAGGAGAAATGGATCAGTGGTTAAGAGCACTGGCTGCTCTTGCAGATGAGATACGTTTGGCTCACAACAATCTGTAACTTCAGTTCCAGGAGATCTAACGCCTTCTTCTGACCTCCTTGGGTATTAGGCAAGCATGTGGCACAGATACACACATACAGGCAAAACACTCACACATGTAATTTAAAAGCCCAGCTGTGATAAATAAAAGAACAAAAAAGTGGGCAAGTATCCTCCCCAGAGCACTATACTCCCATAGGAAAAAGAATACAGAGGGTGGAGTTTATTTGCAATTAGGTGTGGTTAATGAAGAGTGGTGGCCACAGCACAACTCTAGAGCCTGTCAGACCCTGGAAGCTGGCTCCAGTGGCAGGTAGCGCAGGCTGGCATGGCTGGCCTTACTTCCACTTGGCTGTGGGCCAGGCCAACCAATGCAAGTTGGCTGTACTGAGATCATTCAAGAAGTGGGGGATGACGTACATCAGCCCCAAGGGATGAGACCAGATGGCTCAAGGCAGATGTGAATTTTGGAATGGTACTGTCCTGTCTGTGCTACTGTGGCTAAAATTAATCTCCCAATGAATTGATTCAAATGTTGTATTGGATCTTGCTAACGTTTTCAGAGTATCCTCTGCTGGAATGGACTTCAGAAAGTCTGCTTGTCCTCTGTGATGACGTTTCACTATATAAAGCTAACTTTTGAATGTCTCAGACTTGGAAAACATCAGGAGGAGCAGTAACAACTGGTGGACTTCTCAATGATATAGCTGCCTTTGAAGTCACCTGTGTTCCTGTAAGTAACCCCAAAAAACTCATTGGTTCATCATAGTAGACTTGAATTGTTTCCTTGGTCTGTTGTTGCTGTCCTATCTAGAGTGAACATATTTATTCCTGTCTCCCCAGAAGTAACATAGCATTTTGGAACATTGAAGACAGCTATCATGTGTTTCTCTCTCATCAGTGTATGCATCTCTAATTTGTTTAGCTCTTCTCTTGCTCAAACATTCTATTCATGAGGCACATAAACTTCAAAAGACATATACAAGAGCAAGGCAGACATGGTGCATGGTAAGTTGAGAGGTTAAGGGCAGCCTGGTCTAAATATTGAATTCCAGGATAGCTAGAGCCATATAGTGATACCCTGTGTAAAAAACAATGAGGGGGGAGGGGTAGCACAAGAATATCCATAGTAGCATGGTTCTATAATGTTCATGAATTGGAAACACCTTCAAGGCTACCAACAGCAAATAAACAAATTATAATGTATTGATATAAACAACAAAACTACAGCAGTACACAATACTCACTACACAATGTTAAAAGCAAAGACAAAAAGATATGAGACTCCATCTCTATAAAATCCAATTTACTTTTATTTATGCATGTACCCACAGAGGTCCAGCATGCTGACTTCCTTGGAGCTGGGGTTTTACAGGCAGTTGTAAGCTTCTGGTAGGTGCTGGGAAGCAAACTTGGGTCCTCTGCAAGAGCAGCAAGTGCTCTTAAATCCTCAGTCATCATTCTTTTTTTTTTTTTTTTTTTTTGGTTTTTCGAGACAGGGTTTCTCTGTGGCTTTGGAGGCTCTCCTGGAACTTTGCTTGGTAGTCCAGGCTGGCCTCGAACTCACAGAGATCCGCCTGTCTCTGCCTCCCGAGTGCTGGGATTAAAGGCGTGCGCCACCTACACCCGGCCCTCAGTCATCATTCTTTCAGGTTCTAATTATCATCTTTTCTCCAGGCCCTAATTATTTTGGGGGAAGGTGCTCTTGCATCCCATTAATATTTTTTGTGTGCATGTGTATATAGCTTTGTGTATGAAAGTTTTACCTGCTTGTACATATGTGCACCTCATACATGCCTGGTACCTGTAGAGATCAGAAGGAACTGGAAAACCCTGAAACTGCCATTACAGAGGTGTGAATAACCATGTAAATATGGGGAATGGAACCCAGGTCTTCTGCAAGAACAGGGGCTCTTAACTGTGGAATGTTTCTCCAGCCCTCGCCCCCTGACACACTTTATTTTATTTTATTATTTATTTGGTTTTTCGAGACAGGGTTTCTCTGTATTGTTTTGGAGGCTGTCCGGAACTAGCTCTGTAGACCAGGCTGGCCTCGAACTCACAGAGATCCGCCTGTCTCTGCCTCCCGAGTGCTGGGATTAAAGGCGTGCGCCACCAACGCCCAGCAACACCCTTTTTTAAAAATTTATTTATTTACTTTGAGACAAGGTTTCTTTGTGTAATAGCCCCATGTCCTGGAACCTACTCTGCAACCAGGCTGGCCTTAAACTTCACAGATTCTCCTGTCTCTGCCTCCAAAGTGGGGACTAAATGTGTGCACCACCACTGCTTGGCCCATATATCTCAATTTAAACATTTATCTCTTGATTGGTTGATTGACTGTCATCTCTCTAAAGCAAAATCAAGCAAAATCACATTGTGAAGTCAGAATAGTAGTTACTTGTGATAAGAAATGACAGCTGGGTGGTGGTGGTGCACGCTTTAATCCCAGTACTCTGGAGGCAGAGGCAGGCAGATCTCTGTGAATTCGAGGCTAAGGCTACCTTGGCTCTAGAGTCAGTTATAAGACAGCTATGGTTGTTAGACAGAGAAACTCTATCTCAAAAAACCAAAGATTAGAGGGTATTAAGGTTTTGCAGTGCTGACAACAATCAATTTGAGTAGTAGCTTTTAGGTATTGGCTACGTGTTGATTTAAAGTGTGTATTTGTCGGGCGGTGGTGGTGCACGCCTTTAATCCCAGCACTCGGGAGGCAGAGGCAGGCGGATCTCTGTGAGTTGGAGGCCAGGCTGGACCGACAGCCTCCAAAACAATACAGAGAAACCCTGTCTGGTAAAACCAAAAAAAAAAAAATAATAATAATTACAAAGTGTGTATTTGTCTGTGAATCTGCTTGTGGGTTTCATTAAGAAGATATTTAAGCTAAGTGTGGTGGTATACATCTGCAATTCTAGCCCTCAGAAGGCAGAAGCAGGAGTTCAGGCCAGAGTGGGCTACATAATCTTGTCATCTTAGAAAACAATAAAAACAACAAAAACAGTCAAGCATGGTGGTCTACACCAGTAATCCTATAATCCCAGCACTTATACATTGACTTTGAGCACAGTCTTGACTCAAAAAAACAAAACAAAACAACAACAAAAAACAGCTACATAACCCCCCAAAGGTACATTTACAGACTCTAAAAGTTTAAAATATTATTAGGAGTTCCAAGATAAAGAATATAAAGCATACTTAATCATATAACTGTCAGTATACACAGCGGTTGTTCTTGTAATTCAATCTTTTCATCTCTCTCGAATCAAACTGTCTGAATTCAATCTACTTTCTCTATTTTCAAGCTTTAGGGTCTAGGACACATATATACCGGCTTCCTCAACTTTAAAGAACAAAGGTACCTACTATTGAGTCACTGTGAGGGTTCAGAAGAAATAAACAGTGTCTGAATCACAGCCTAGCCGTAAAACTAGTCAATAAACAATGTGCTAGCTACTACTATTATTCTTGTCTGACTTCAGAGTCATGGCTGATAGATAAGAAGCTGATTATTTTCCCCCAAGGGAAACTTCAAAAAAAAAAAAAAGAAAGAAAGAAAGAAAGAAAAGAAAAGAAAAATAAAGAAAGAAAATCCTATCCTTCTCTTGGGGCACCTACATAGAGGTTAGAGGTCAAGAAAGAAAGAAAAGAAAAGAAAAACAAAGAAAGAGAAAATCCTATCCTTCTCTTGGGGCACCTACATAGAGGTTAGAGGTCAAGAAAGAAAGAAAAGAAAAGAAAAACAAAGAAAGAGAAAATCCTATCCTTCTCTTGGGGCACCTACATAGAGGTTAGAGGTCAGACACAGGCTTAAGTCATCACTTAAATGTCTAGTCTTCTTGCCTTTATCAAAGGCCCAAGGGAAAGCAGGAAAAAAGAATAAGACAATATTTCACCACCAAAAAAGGTTTTTATTACAAAACAACTTCTAATAAAATCAAGCCTTGGTTTTCAACCCTTTCTCTGAATGGAGGCTCCTAGGATGGAGGGGCAGGGGAGACAAAGCAGAGGATAATGAAAGAAAACAGAGCAGGTTGACCTCCCCAAGAAGTCTCAGGTGCTTTGAATAGCCTAGATGAGCTCTTCCAATGGCTCCTGAGAAAGGCAACATCCTTCCAGATAGGAAGAACCACGAACCACTCCTGTCACCACAACTGAGCACTGCAGCGCTGTTGGATTGGATCCAGGTCTTGACTGGCTCTCAGCAAAGGCCACCCAGGGTTACTCAGCCTGCGTAATGGTGTAGGAGAGTAGCCACAGCAGCAGGGGACCCAGAACAAGGACAGCAAACCAGACAGCAAAACTGGCCAGAATGAGTCTCCGGGCCCGGGCCCCCCAGTACATGGCCTCCTCCGACTGGCCTGCCTTATGCCGCTCTTCTGCCTGTGGGGGCAGGTTAGGGTTAGATTCTCCCCCTGCTTCTGTCCCCAAGTGCCCACTGCCCCACTCATTACCATAGCTCATAGTCACACATCCAAACATTTTACATCTTTCCTTTGTCTTGTTTCATCTACAACAAAACCATTGATAGCAGTCCTGCCTACTTTTTAAGTGGTTAGTTAGCTTACAAGATTGCACATGGAAAATGCTTTTTAATGACTTTGGTTTGTTTTGTGGTATGGACATGCTATCAGGATCTGGGCATACCAGCCAAGTACCTTGTTGAATTACATTTTTGGATGGAAAATACTTTTATCTGTCCTACATTTGTTCATTCAGTCAAATCTCTCATGGTCCAACAGGCACATTTTGCCCCAGTGAAATTCTTACGGTGACAAAAAGTGTTTCTGACTGTTAAGTTACATCAAGAGGATGAGAAAATTCCAGAAATGATGTTTAGGGTAGCTTGAATAGCCTTTCAATAGGCATCCATGTATGCTGAGCTTAGTGACAATGTACTTATGGGCAAGGCTCTGGGCTCAATTCCTAGCAGCACAATCCCCACTGCCACCACAAAAAAAGGTACAGGTGAATTGCTCTCATCACTATTCAACTGTCTGCCTATAGTTTCGCCCCTTGTAATTCAACCTTAAAGGAGGCTTTGAGTAGTTCTTTCTGAAACACAAATCTGGCCATGTCGCTCCCCTGAAATAATTTTTACATTGCTTTCTAATATTCGAGATAAAGTCAAAATTCCCAAGTACAGAATTGGAGGCCCTCAGGATCTAGATCTTTGATGTCAATTCTCGGTATTTAATGTCATTTAACCATTTGCACTCATTGCTGACTTTATTTGGATTGTCCTTTCACCCTCATACACTCACTCTTTAAAGTTATCTTCTTGTCATCTTTGGTATGCTCTAGTAGTCTCTCTCTCTCTCCCTCTCTCCCTCTCTCCCTCTCTCCCTCCTCCCTCCCTCCCTCCCTCCCTCCCTCCCTCCCTCCCTCCCTCCCTCCCTCCCTCCCTCCCTCTCTCTCTCTCTCTCTCTCTCTCTCTCTCTCTCTCTCTCTCTCTCCACACACACACAAATATAACTTTCTTTGTTCCTAAAGTACCCTGTGCTTCCCCTGTACCACAGTATTGGTGAGCTGCATTCTACTAGTTATCCATTCTTACAACTATCTCTTATTCTGGCACTAAGCCCATAGCTAAGCATCAGTAGGTATTTAGTAACTGTTTAATTAACTGTAGAAAGAGTAGACACACAAAATCATTTTCTTACACCCTCCCCTTTACCCACAGGGATTTTATTCCTCACCTTGATGGCAAACACAAGAGCCATGACTCCCAGGCAAGAACAGCCACAGATAATGCTAGTAGCTGCCAAGTAGCGGAGGCGGAGCCAGCAGCAGTGGACAGGGGATGCAGAATGAGCAGCTCCCATGTTGCTCATCAAGCTCTCCGCTGCCTTCTCCTCGTCCTCCATCACCTGTGGGCGATATAGTCAAGGTACTTTTAAGCCCAACAAATGAGCTCTTGCTCTGGCGTGGTGACTCAACCCTTCTCAAAGCATGCTGTCCTAATCCTACACTTAGGAATGCTGTTGTACTGGGAAATTCCTCCAATGACTCAGACCAAGAAACTAAATGCATGGATGGAATCCTCTCCATAAAGCTTAACATTCTGAATCTTTAAAGGCAAGGATGTGTGAATATACTCTTAATCTCAAAAAGTATAGAGAAGCAAACTGACATTCATATCAAGAAACAAGATATAGAATCTCAAAACCCTGTGTAAGTACCTTATTTTGTTTTGAGATAGGGTCTCACTATGTAGCTCTCCCTTGCTGGCCTGAACTATATAGATAAGCCTGACCTCAAATTCAGATGATCACCTCTCTCTACTCTCTTGTGCTGGGATTTTTTTTAAACAGGGTTTCTCTCTCTCTCTCTCTCTCTCTCTCTCTCTCTCTCTCTCTCTATATATATATATATATATATATATATATATATATATATAGTCTTGGCTGTCCTGGAACTCACTATGAAGACCAGGCTGGCCTAGAACTCAAAGAGGTCCACCTGCCTCTACCTCCTGAGTACTGGGATTAAAGGCATGTGACACCATACCCAGCATGAAAACAGTTCTGGCAATGAAGGAAAAGGAAAATCTTCTTTCCTGCTTATAAAACAAAAAACCTCAAAAACAAACAAACACCTAGCCAAGTAGTGGCAGCAGACATCTATAATCCTGATTCTGGACAGGTGGAAGCAGAAAGATCAAGAGTTCAAGACCAGTATTGCCAGTTTGGAGTTTGAGGATATATGAGATCCTGTCTCAAAACAAAACCAAAAACACAAAAACCAAAAAATCCTAAACCCTGAACATAGTCTTCTTGCTGCCACCTCTCTCCATTTCAACTCAGACCAGACAACACAATCAGATTTGCAGAGTTCAAATGACCTCACTGCCCACACAGAAACCTGTACAGTGCCTTTACTGATTCCCAGGCCCTCTATGCACATCAAAATGCCTCATGTCTAATTATTCTCCTACAGCTTGGGCGCAACAAAGCCACCTGTGGCTCCCCAAGCACAAGCAAAGAAAAGGCAGATGAGAGAGCAAAAGGACGTGTAGCAAAGCTGCAATGGCAAGCTGAAGCAAGAACTCAAGTGTCAGCAAGTGAGAAGAGGCCAAGAAGCCAGCCCAGGGAGGGAAGGTCGCAAATTATAAACACGAGCAGATTCTTACCTGGCTATAGGCTTGGAGGGACTGTGAGTTTCGGCTCCTGCCTCAGGTTTGATTTGGCTTGGGTGGAGATGAAGCTGACTCATGGCTCCAAGCCAAGCCAAGGTAGAGTTGTGGGGCCAGACACCATGTGAAGGGCCCAGGGAGCTGGGACGGGGCATGGCCAACTCAAACCAGTTTGGCTAGATGGAGAGCAGAGGAGGGCCAAGGCATGAAGCAAATGGAGGATGCCTCTCTCTGAAGAAAGGAGTGTAAGGAAGCACCTGAGCGAGGAGGCTGGAAGGGAACCTCAAGGCGTCAGAGAGCCTAGGGAAGCTCGAGAGTCAGAGAAAAGAGCTATGTCTGAGTGGTTTGAAACTGAGACTACACAGCCTACCAGATCAGATTTGACAATCTTCCCTTTTTCTGACTGAGAGAGGGTTAAGTTCTGCTTTAAAAGTATACAATCTTGGATTAGAGATCAGGTATGGGGCCACTGCAAGAGGGAGGTGAAAAATTATATCCAAGTTCCCACCCAACCCTCCACCAGACCAGGAAATCAGAAGCCTCCTTACACGGATGCTTGTACAGAAACTAAGTTTATTATGTTTTCTTCTTAAAAAAAAAAAAAAAAAAAACCAAACCCACCCCACCTCATTGAAGAAAAGCCCCTCCCCCTTTTCCCTAAGGGTTTGAGGCTGTGAAAGACAGCTGGGGAATCAAGTACAAGGGGGTGGGGACAGAGACTATCTTGCCACCCTTAACACTGCCCAGCCATGTAGGGTAGGAGGGGGGTTGTGAGGACCCCATTTCCATGACAACCAGTTACCTACCCCCTACTTTGGTGGAAAGGGAGACAGCCCCCTATGTCTCCCTGGAGGCTTTTCCCCTCAGACTTCAAGTAGTGGTTAACAGAGTCAGGCCTGGGCGTGGGGAGGCGACCATGGTGGGATACCTAGGTGAAGGGCCTACCCACTCACGTCTTGGCCTTTCGACCTCTGTGACTAACAGTAGGGGTAGATAGGTGGGGAGGAGCACTGCTACGCAGGATACGCTGGTCCCCTTGGTTGGTCCCAACGAGCCTGCGGGGACCAGTTCGGCGGCGTGGGGTTCCATCTCCTTCCTCCTCGTCACCTGAGGCTTCTGCCTCTGACTCCTCTACTGACCCCTCAGGCCCCAGGGGACTTGGGGGCTGCAAGCGGCCCCGTTTTGCCATCCCAGAACTCCCAACTGGAGCCCCTGACCTTTTGCGAGGCATTTTTTCAGTTTCTAGTGGGGGAACTAGAGACCCTGGACGCAGGCGGGTTGAGCGAAATTTGGGAGTTAATGAGACCACAGGTGGTGTCAGTTCTAACCCACTTGGCCCACTATCTGCTAAATCCAGGTCATCCTGAATTACAGCCATCACCGTGGACCCTTCACTCTTCCGTCCCCGCATCCCCTCCGCTTCAAGCCGTAGGCGGGCCAGGCGTGTGAGAGGGCGGCTTCCATCCTCATCAGAGGAACTGCCTTCACTTTCCACCTGGCCCACGGGTGGCCGCCGCACCCCCAATCCACAACTCTCAAGGGCAGAAGAGGTGTCGGTGTCCAGTACAGGGAGCTGGCTGGGCCTCGGTGATGGTGGGTTCTTGGGAGGTCGGCCCCGCTTCCGCTTAGGTGTGGATGTTGAAATGGTGACAGTGGTGACTGTGTTGGTGACAGCAGTAGGACAGGCTAGGAGTGGTGGGAGTGGTGTCAGGGGTGCTGGGAAAGGGAGTGGCTGTGTCCGGCTCTCTAAACTGCCATCCCCTGGAGAGGATATGGTCCCAGGAACGGGTAGGTCCCTTGCTTTAGGTGGACGTCCACGCCGTCTTTTCTCCACAGGTGATAGGATGGGCTCTGGTCTGTGAACTGGTTCAGGTGCAAGAGGCTGGGGACCAGGAACAAACTGGGGCCTGAGGGCAGGTTCCGCAACAGTTACTGTCTCAGACCCAGCAACTGGGTCAACCCCATTGGTTTTCCCCTTAGAGATGGACGAAGGTGTCTCATCCACCCCTCTCCCAGCATCGGCTGGAGACCTGTTCTTCTTAGGGGGCCTCCCCCTCCGACGTTTCACAGCGGGTGGAGTGATGGCAAGCTCTGCTCCTTCACCATTCTCTGGGCTGCCCCCACCAGTCATACCCAGTTCAATGTGACGACAAGCAATGAAGGGTTGCTGGGTTGGGGTGGACAGTGAGGATGAAGGAGCAGCTTCACAGGGCCCACTGCTGGGAGGTGAGGACTCTGGCCCTGACATGCTATGGGTCGATGGGCTTCCTGGACTGGTGCTAGGTTCAGACACCCCAGGTACCAGGGTGTTGGCAGTTCCCCGATGTCGCCGCCGTCTCACAAGTTCTTTTTCCTCCACCACAGTTACTAGCCGTCCTGGCAGTTTTCGAAGTACTTTGGGACCTGGGGGTTGTCCTGCCCGACCAGACCCCTGACCCCTGATTTCTACATCAGCACTGGTGCGACGCCGTGGGGGACGGGCAGGTGAAGGACCCTCAGGAGAGGAGGTGGCTGAAGATGAAGCTGATGGGGCTATAACCTCGGCTCTAACAAGTTCTTGTGGTTTTTCTGGGTTGGAGATTTGGACCTGAACCTCTGCCATTTCTTCCAAGTTCCTGTGAACCTCCAATACCTCCTGAAGTGGTTCATCAGATGCTGTTGAGGGTGGGAGCTCCAGTCCATTGCTCTCACTCAGACTCTCAGTCAACTCCTCACCACCAGGTAGCAGTGTGGGACTCTCCCCCTCCACAGGACCTGACACCTCCTGCTGCTGACCATTGGGGATGCTGCCAGCTTCCAAGGTTGAACTGGGTGCAGAAATTAGATGATTCTTCTCTGACTCAGGCAGAATATCAGTAGCCCCTGGCAAAAGATCCTTTGGAGGCACAAAATTAACCAGGGAAGCCTCAGAATTGGTTGTTCCAGGCAGCTCTAGAGACTCCATAGGTACCAACTCTTGTGTACGCAGTTCTACTTCTCCTGAGTCCAAGGGAAGGTTGGTAACCCCAGGAGAGATGGGAACAGAAAGGGAATCAAGTAGGGTTGGTGAAGAAGAAGTCAAATGAGAGGTTTGAGCTGGTGAAGGGGTACGAGTGGGTAGAGGGGTACAGGCTGGAGGAATGCAGGTAGGAGAAGAACAAGATGGAGGAAGCTGAAGCAGAGGTGCAGGAGCAGGCAAGATATGGTCAGGAAGAATGGTTATTGGATTTGGGGTGGAAATCGGTATGGGAGCTGTGGCTAGGGCAGAAGTTATAGTAGGGGCAGGGGCAGGGGCAGGGGCAGGGGCAGGGGCAGGGGCAGGGGCAGGGGCAGGGGCAGGTCGAGGCCTAGGCACTGGCCTGGGAATTCGTTCTCTCACAGGGCTGCATTGGGGAGGCGTGAAGGTGTTGCAGGTAAGATGGGTAGATGTGACAGGAGTGTGGTTTGCTCCTTGAGTCTCAGCCCGAGCTCCACGAAGACGCTCACTGACACGAGTCCCCAGCCTCTCAGGAGCCTTGACTTTCTTACTGCGCCGATGACTGCCTCCACTAGTCCCACAGGACATCTCATCCCCAGCCCCTGGCCCTTCTTCTTCCTCTTGGGGCAATCGAAACACCTCCTCCTTGGCTTGATCCAGGTCTTTTCGGGCAGCTTCCACTTGTTCCTACCAATAACACAGCACAATAT